CGTCAAATGTCCTTGAGTTGTCACTCCCTTTATGGCTGATATTACCCCTATTTATCCGAGCAATTCACATTAACCCTTTTTCATTGACTAAACCAAAGATCCAAATAATACAAAAAAGAATGGGGGAAAATATTCAAAATAAATAAACAAGAATAAGCATTAATGAACATCATCAGAAGGGCAAAAAAATGTGCATGGCATGCAAATTTATTTTGGCGCATTAATAAACGCACCGCGAAATGCGAAAAACGAGAACGGACAATCGACAATGGACAAAAGACAACCGACATCGGACAAGATCCAGAGCCACGTAAACAGGATATGGGCGATGGAGATGGAGATGGGAACTCTAGCAGGCGAAATGCGAAATGCGAGTAATTATGTATGTTTGTGAGTATTATAATTAACATTTCTGGGAAAACTCGAATGCGTTGAGCAGGACAAAAGGCAAAATCCCAATCCCAAAAAAAAAAAAAGAAAAGATAAAAAAAAGGCCAGACGGACGTCTGAGACGATGTAAGTGAGGAAAGGGATTTTGCGCCTTGGCTCACACACACTAACATACCAAAAAAAAAAAAAAATCAACATTATAAATGAGCCGAGCTGTCCGCATCCTTTGGTGTTGTTGTTCTACTGGTTTTGCCAGATTATGTGCGGATTTTTGCACAGTCCAAAGGCAGCCAAACAAAATAATCATAATGAACGGAATACAGGTACTGAGAGAAATTATCCTATAGTTTAACATGATTTTTAAAGAAAATTAATAAAAGGATATGGCATTAAATTATATGGCTAAGGCTTCAAATAGTACAATTTCTGGGAGCTTCTTTGGATGAAACATAAAATATATCAATAAGAAATTATTAATGACAAAAATGGTATAGTTTCATAGAGTTTTTCTAGAATGAAACTACTTAAGAATATTTAAAAAATATTTACATTGAAGTCCTTACAGTAAAAGTTATTAGAGCATGTTTAAAAAAATGTCTACTTCAAGTTCCTTCGAGAATAAACTCTTAAAGAATATTTTAAAAAATATAAGCTTTGAGCTCCTTGGAATGAAAACTATTTAAGAATGCTTTAAAACCTAAATACTGTAGCTATTTAGAGTATACAATATTATAAGAATCATCAAGGATCATCTAGGATCATTCTGGTTTTTCTAACTGTATAATCATGGGGAGGTACTCACAGATACATGTGAGAAATCCAAGTAGTTGGCCTCAGACACCGCCAAAAAAAAAAAAAACACAAAGCTGAATTCAAAAGAAAAACAAGAACGAACCGCATTTCGATCCTTGGCTTGCAGCGAGTTCTGCCGTTCCCCCCGCTGCCCGCTGCCCACCCCCCTTTGCCAATCTGAAAAAGGAACCCCTCTCACCTGAGAAGGTGAGAAGATTTTCTCTCTCTCTACCCGTAAGGCAGCATTCCAGGCAACTTCCAGGCCAAAAACTTGAGGTGAGAGGACAATCAACTCGCAAACAGCAACAACAACAACAACAACACCAAAACAACAACAAAAAAATCCCATTCTGGATTCAGACAACTCGTGGCTAACTCAAAGCGCTTGCGCCTATTTAATTTGGCTGCCGCCAACATTTTCGAAGCTCCCACAGATTCCCGATTCTCCAGTCCCGGTCATCTCTTCATTCTCCACCTCCTTTACCTACAACCACCGATCACCTTACCACCCTCCTTCTGCTTATGCTCTCCCCACTCAACCCTCCCCTCCCCAAAAAATTCCAGCAATCGCCCAATCTGCCCCCACCCCGCTCCTTGTCTTGGCATCTTGTTAACGATCATGGCAACAGGATTCTGCTATTTTGTCGCTGCTGCCCTGCGCCACACAGTAAAAGGTAAAAAAAACAACGAAAAAAAACCAAAAAGCTGCAAAAAATAATCCGTCGAGAAACGCAAGCCAAGAATTCTGCTGGTGCTTAAGGAGCTACAAGGATCGAATGGGATCTACCCAGGGTATCAACAGTATCCGGATCAGTTTTATGGGTTTTATCTTTTGGATATGAAATTCTCCTCTATTGGCTTTCTAAGCTTTTGGTGAAGAAATTATGGTTATATACTTATAACCATGTATTTATGTAAATATATTTAATAAATCTAATTCAGGGTTACTTAGCTTATATCCTTTTATTTCACTAATTTTCATAAAACTAGGGAATATGGTTCCAATTTTCTCTCAAAATCAAATCTAAGATCATCTAAGGTCCTGAAACTAAGGTCTCTTTAGAAACTCGACCCCTAATTTTGGCAAATTTCGATTGTTTTCAAATTGGTTATTGCAAAACCCAATAAATTATGAAATTCTTAAATTTAAGATTAAACATTTTCTCTACTAAGCACTTAGTGTTATATTAAAACTGCAAAACTTAGTTTCTTACATGTAGAAGCTACTACAAAACATTAAACTAACTTTAATATCTTTTTTCTGCATTTCTTTGCTGTCAAAAGTTCCTTCCTAGTTCGATTTACAACACTGCATTCAAGTGCTGCATAGAGCCTAATAAAACACATCAAATAACCTCAAAGCTGTTCATGTCCTTGCCACCACAAGCTAATATAGGGTATGCGGCTACGTAAAAGCAAAAAAAAAAAGAAAAGGAAAAAAAATTATGCACATTCCAGAGGCAGCCACATCCACATCCACATCCATGGACCGATCAGCGGCATCCCAAAAAGAAATGTGCCCAGCACACGCACACTCGGCAAAAATCGCAGCAAATGCAAAAGACAAAAAAACAAAAGAAAACAAAAGGCCAAAACAAAAACAGGCAACAACAAACAAGCAGGAGCAAACAGAATAACTAAATGCAGACCTGAAACCACCCGCTCCTGCCACCCGCCACCGCATGCCGGCAGTGGCAGGCAGTGTTGTTTACCTCTCTGCACCACCCAAGAGTGCTACAATGTTGTGGTCGCGGAGTTTGGCTTTCTCCTGTCGCCGGCTTTATTAGCCAAGTCTGCAGAAACGCACACAAATACACATGGCCCACTCTTTGTGGCACAACATATATACATACATGTACTATACCACCCACCTCCCCCGACCGAGTTGCGATTGCACCGAAATTCCACAAAGAATTTTAAGTGTATACAATATGAATGTCTGGGTCTGGGGCACTTTTGACTGCAAACTGCAACCAGCCGAGCAGTGTTTGGGGCAGAGAAACTGCTCCATGGCCAAAACCTGATGCAGGAGCAATGGAAGAGTAATAGCCAACGCCGCTGCCACCATCACCGCCACCGCCACCGCCGGCGACGACGTCGTAGTCGAAAACCAAGACGTTGACTTTCGGAAAGGAGCCCCTGAGCCTGAATGGCAGTGATGGCTTAGAACAGCCAAAATATAGCCAGATTAGACATTCTTAGCTTTATAGATCTTTTAGAGATCAAGTAGACATATTTAAAAATATTATTATCTAAAGTATCCTGTTTCTTGGCTAAAAACTTTGCGACGCAAGTCCACAGTGACTAGCTGTAAAAATTAAAAAATTTAGGTCCTTAATAAAGCCTTTTAAGAGATTACTTTTTAAATATTATTAGTAAGTATGGTCTAATGATATACTAAATAGTAATGTCCTTAGAATTATCTTTATCTATTTCCTAAGTCTTCCTTTTAAGAGGCTTAAAAAGGAAACGAACTCTCAAACGCCATTTAGGCTTAAACCCCTAGATGTAGGCTATGATTTTGAGCTTTTACGTTAGATCACGAAGGGTTTTTAATCCTTAAACAAAAAATAAACTTTTTAACAGTATAAGTTTAAAATTTTTTGCTTATTATATTTAAAATAATAATATTCTATACTTATAGTAATCACCATCATTTTCTCCTACTTGCTTACTAAATCCAGTCTCCCTCTTATCCTTACCCCTTATGAAATCAAGATGTTTAAAAAAAAAAAAAGAAGCATTTTTTAATGTCTAAAAAACTCCAAGTCCTGTCAAATTAGACACCCAGACAAAAATTTAAATTAATCCTGTTTATCACCTACAAAAATGTTCGACGCGAATCCGGCCAGGTTATCGGCACCATTGGAGCCTCCTCACGAAAACCTGGACGACTCTCAGACGTAAACACCGGGTTTTTTTTTTTTTTGGGATCCGAGAGGTGTGCTGAGGTGTGGGGTGGGGGCGACTGGACAATGGGGGGACGGAGGGAGTAGGGAGGGGAGAGTCAGAGATCGGCATCGTATCTTGAAATGAAATGCAAAGAAAAGAAAATAACAAAAACAAAGTTTCTCACGTTCCTCTTCCTAAATTCTTGGAATTGCAATACATTAAAAAGAGGTCTTTGCTTCGTCTGCATACATATGCACTTTCGGTGCGTGTCTATGTATGTGTATGGGTGTGTGTATATGAGAGTGGCCCGAGCCCGGGCTTGGGCGGACAAGCGGACACACGGACAGCAGTTTTGAGCCGTGCTACAAGCGAACGCCGCCACCGCCACCGCCCGTTCAACATATTCCTTTTTCTCATCGATTTTGAGACCTTTAAGTGAATGTGTCGATTGAGTGCACTGAGAGAAAATTATATATATTTTATTTTCATATAATTTAATCCTTAAACTATTATTTTAAAGGTATCTATTGAGATATGCTAATAATTATTTGTAGAAATGAGATATATCAGTTTTTATAAAAATGGATAGAATATATCTTTTAAGTCTTGAATATATAAGTTCTATAATATAATATAATAAATAATACTATAAAAAATTAAATACATACAATATTTATATCCTAAAGTACGAAAAGGATAGGATCTTAGATCCTAAGATTTAAGTTAGAAATGGAATCGCAATTCTCAAACCCCCTGAGTTTAGATAGTTTATAAGGTTAAGTATTTAAAAGAAGACCTTATTTTTTTGGAAATAAATAAATAGTAAAAGAAATATTATGTTTAACAATACTACTTAAACTTTATACTTTTAAAAAATATATCTTTATAATTTATAAATAAATAAAGCCCAAGATCCCCTTATTTTTTGTTCATCTCCTTAAACCACCATCTTTCTTTCAGTGTAATGATGCATAATGGTGCTATTGGTATTCTTTATGTTTCTGTTGTTGGCTGATGATGTTGCCCCGTAGTTGCTTTTGCTGTTGCTGCTACTTTGGCAATATGTATTTTTTTTTTTTTTCGTACGAGGAGGAGCATTTTTCCCTGCCGTGCTTGAATTTAGTTTTGGGGAGGCCGCCCAGTAGAAGGAGTTGGTAGTGGGGTCTGTATGGGGGTTATGGCAGGGCGGGTTTATGCCAGAGGAAACTGCAGGGAGGTGGGCATAATGAAAGTCGTCGTCTGCATCTCCATCTCCATCTCCCAGTCTCCAGTCTCGAGTCTCCAGTCTACGTCGACATCGTCGGCGGTTTGATCAAATGAATGAATATTATCATCGATGCCTCTTGAATGTCGAACGAGCTGACTTGATGACCGTGCATCGGAGAGCCGAGGCTCGTAAAGAATTCTTTTTTGTTGTTCTTCCCCTTCTTTGTTTTCTTCAGGCTGTTACTTTTGTTGTTGTTTCTGTTGTATTGTTGCACCCAGTAAAGGTAAGTGTGTGTGTGTGTGTCTTAAAGTTGTTTGATCTAATTGGTTCATCGAACCAAGTCTCCAAGTGCTTCAATCAGCAGTCTGCAATCTTTGGATCCCAGGATTATGATGTTCGAATTAAGCTCCTTTTTTTTCGCCAATTTGGATAGGATAATCTTTTAAAAATTAAATAAAAACTAGTTTAAGTACAAGAATCTGGACTTCTTAGGGATAAGATCTAGTCTAGTCTAGGTCTAGTCTAGGAAAACAAAAATCTTAAATATTAAATACATTTTTTTATTGAAAATAAAAATGCATTTCCCAAAATGCATACTTATCGTGCCTCGTATGTTGCATGAACAAATAATACAGCAGTTGGGTTTATTTAACCAGAGTCTCAGTCAGAATTCCAGGAATTTAGGATTGGGTTCGTCTCTGTTGTTTTTTTTTTATTTTCTTTGAGGGCACGCGGGGGGGTCATAATTAAGTGGCCTTAAATGCCTCTTAAGGAATTTCTCACAGGCGACATTATTATCAGTTCTTTCCCTCTTTCCCGCTGATAGGCTAGAAATTTTTATTCGTTTTTTTTCGATCCCAGCCGGACTTCGTTTCATTATTGACTTGGCATTGATCGCTTTTCCAAAGAATGGAATGTGCATGTTGCATGTTGCATCTGCATATACAGATGCATGTATGTATGTATGTATGTATCTTGAAGATGCACATTCTTTGACTGTTAAGTGCAATTGCAACAAAGTGTCAAACAGGTTGAGCCACAATTGCACAATCTTGAAGAGCTTCTGTTTGATTGGTAAGTTCGTCATCGGCAACAACGGCAACGGCACACAAATTCCAATCATATGAGTTCATATCGGAGTTGACTTTGAGTATGAGTATGAGTACTCATAGTCGTACTCGTACTCATACTCGTACTTGTTCTTGGCTTTTCAGTGATCACTGATCAGCGCGATCAGTGTTTTCTGTTTGCAGTTTTTTTTCTCACAGGCCGCACCACCAGTCAAGTCAAACCAGTTGCCCCATGACTCAGACCAGTGGCACCCAAAACGTATAGATCTCTGGGGGGCGGTCGGGAGGTATGTATGGCATGAAGGGGGTATATGCCACTAATTGCATATACATATATATACTGCATGCACTTTGCATTATCTCGTAATAATTACAATATTTCGATCTCGCATTGCCATTCACAAGCTGTGTATCTTTCCGTCTCGTTTCCACCGTCCGTTGCAGTTGCATTCGTTTCATTCATAAAACTTGCCGCTGCCAGCAGTTGCAGTTGCTGCTTCTGCTTCTGCTTGCGTCGCTGCGACGCGACGGCGGTAGCGGTGGCGGTGGCGTCGGAGTCGACGTTGGGTGCTGGCCGGGTCGAATCTGGCCTGGCTCTTACCGTATATACAAGTACTTGAACGCTGCACATTTCATCACCCCGCCACTCCGTCACTTCAAAAGCCACACATTCAGAAGCATTCCACATTTTTTAGTTGAAATACTCTAATTCTAATAGGTATAATAGTTAGAGGTTAAGGGTTTTAAGAGGTTTTTAATAGAGTTTCTTATAAAGAATGGTATATAGTTTAAAGAAAACGCACTATATGCGTATGCGTTATATGCGTTTAAGACCTACGACTTCCTTGAATATTTGAATAATTTCAAAATTGTCAAGCTCAGGTAAATATTTTCAAAAAGTTTTCGAATAAGTGTATTTAAAATGTGAAAATTAAGGTCCTTAACCAGTTTGAAATAAATTACTAAAAAATAGATACAGTATAGCTATTGAAACTATACTTTCATAAGATAAAATATGTATATTCATTCCTTCTAAAAAATCCTAGCCCTCCTAGAACCACAAATCCTTCATCACCTCCATCAAACATACATCATCCAGGGTGTACAGAGTTCGGTGTAAGCTAGAAACTCCGAATTGGATCCATTACATTCTTGTTTTTTTGACACCAATGCACTCTGGTCTCTTATCGCACATAATTCATATCTGGTTTCTCGCACTGTAATTCTTCTGTGGAGCTGGAGGAGTTTTTTGGGTGTGCGTGTGTTAATCTCCCCCTATTTTTTTTTGTTGAGGGTTTTCGGTGTGTTTTTCTGGGTCCCTCTCGGCCCACTGATAAACTCTAGCCCTCCCGGAATGGCTGGAAGATGGGGAGTCTATGGTATAGTTTATACAAAATTTAATGCCCAATGCACTTGCTGGCTCCCTTTGTTGGCGCCTAATACTTATTGTACATATATTTCAATTTATTAATTTCGTATGCATAAATCTTGCGCTTTATTTATTCAATTTGAGTCTTTGTTGTCTGCTGATCACTGGCGGTGGCCCTGGAGCTCGGACACAATGCATCTGGCTGTGGCTATATACCTATATAACTATGTTACTATATAACTATATAGATGAGATGCTGAATGCTCGAGGGATTGGGGTATTGGGGTATTGGGGGCTTGAGCGGCGGCACATTCGATCTTTGACTTGTAAATTCTTGGAATGCAGTTAGTGGGGCATTTTAATGGAAGCTGTCGCCGGTCGCCGATCGCCGGTCGAATCTTTTGGATGCAAATTCTATGAAGCTAGAAGCTAGATGGCGTGTATCTTAACTTGGTCCGGTGGCATGCAGAATGGCAATTATTGAGGTCAACTGTGATTAAATGTCTAATCGTTGCAACTAACTTGCGACAATCTCAACCACTTTCAGGCTAATTAAATCAATTGGTGGAAGAATACGAGTAATAAAAAATATTACTCATTAAAAATGAATTCTTTAGATTCGAATGAAGAACTTCAGATTGTTTGTAATTACATTAAACGTTTCTTAAAATTGTAATCAACTTCGATTGAATTATCAAATACTAGAATTTTTATGAGGGTCTTGGCCCTCAATTGCAGTTAATAAAGAACAAAATTGGAACTTGTGACTCTACTTGGGTTTAAAATACTGTCAACAATAGGGTCTTATATATTTTTTTATTATCGGATTTGTTTTTCCCTCGATTGTAATTGAAATCTTTGTTATGAATGATGTTGTATATAACCATTCAAGTTCAATTCTGATCGAATTTCAAACATAAATGGCGAAAATATTATTATAGTGCAGAATAACTTGATAAACAAACAATGTCGGCCATTCTAGACGCTGGGAAGACGCCATTTTGTCGCTCACACACACATATTTGTTTACACTTCCGATTTGTGGCTGATATTTATGGCGTGTAATTTGAGAAAATAACGGTTATGCAAATGCAATAAATTCAAGCCCTGTAATATAAGACAAAATGGCTAATTTTTTTGGTTTTCTTAACTTTGTACAAAAAACACCTTGACCACCATTTTGTTTTTCGGTCTCTATCATTTTTTTTTTATTTTATTTGTGGTTGATTATTTTTTTGTTGTTTTTATTTTTTTTTTTTTGCTTTTTTCGCTCTTGGTGAGATTATTGCTAATTTCGGGTGCCTCTCTTGGACGGTTGTGTGTTATGGTATGTGTTTGTGAGAGGACTGTATTATTTATTTTTTTTTTTTTTTGGATGGGAGGGTGGCATGTGGGGTCTTTGGGGGAAGAAGGGTCGGTGACCACGTGATGCGCTCTCCTAATAAAATTTGCCAACTATGACCGAAAACTGCATAAATTATAGGAAATTAAAAAAGAAATACCTTGCCAGGACATCCCAGGACATGATTCCTATTTCAAAATATTATAAATTTACGATAAAATTAAGAAATTTCAAATTTCATTTAATTTTTTTGGTTGTGCATGTAAGTGTGTGAGAGTTTTGGACTTTCGATGGTGTGTTGGTGAGAAATGCTCCGAAAAAATAAATGAAATACTACTGTAACGGCACAACAAAGTATCTGTGTGTGGTTGGCGTATTTTTTTTTCGTATTTTGGATTGATATTGGATGTTGTGCACGCCCCTATGCGTAGCTACTTTCGTTGTTGTTGCTTTTATTATTATTATGTTTATTGTTGTTGTTGTTGTTGTTGCCGACAACGACCCTTACGTCAGCAGTAGCACGTGGAGCATTATTAAAGCGTTTAATTAACTTGAAACATTTAGGATCAAATTCATAATTGGATGGTTATGGTTCTGGTAATCATAGATGCATTGAAACTTGCGGGTAACATAATTATGGACTTGCGAGTTAAACTCCAATTAATTTTCAAAGAATATCATTTTTTTTTGTTTTTTTTTTTGCTTTAATTTAGTTAAATGAAAGATCTTATGGGGTGAAGTACAATATCATTTTGGGATACGAAATTAATTTTCAATTTTATGCCCTGATACTAGAAGAAAATTTTTTTGCCCCCATGGCACTAACACACACAAGCACAAACCCTCACACTCACACGCATATGAGGAAGCCCTCTCCGCACGCATACAAAAAAGTCTTCTAGTATCCGTATCTGTATCTGTAAAACGTATCTTTTGGTCTGTGTCAGTGAGTTTTCAACGTCGCTGTCGCTCGCTTCTGATATGTGAGCTTAATGTTACATATTTCATATGGCATACTGACTGGTTCTGTCTACGTCTGCTTTTGCTTCTTTTCTATATATTTTTTTTTCAGAAATTTTTGTACCATTCTTTGCGTAACTAGCTCCTTATTCTAAGGACATCACAACCCTATATTATTATTTTTCATATGCCATAGAAATTCGTTCTTCTTGATTTTCGGATTTTCGTTTAGCTTTTTTATTGTTTTTTTTTCGGGCTGCCTTTTGATCGTTTGCTAATGTGTGTGTGTGTGAGTGTGAATCTTTACACTTTGCGAAAAAGCGACTTTATTTGATAATTGAAGTATGAAGTTGGAGTTATGAATGGGTTAGTTACAAAAAGCATATTTTAAGCACTTTAAAGGTTTAATTTTTTTTATTTAAAAAGTTAACTTAAGGAGTAAGCTCTTAAATCTACATACTCTCTTACTTAAAAACTCAAAACTAGCTATCTTTTGAATTAAAACAAAATTTCAATTAAGGTAAGTAAGTACTATTTTATTAAAAAATGGTTAAGCTATAAATTAACGGTTATAAGATCACTTTGTATTCTAAAAAATTATAATAAAATATAAAAAAAAAACATATTTTTATATCCATGATCAATATCCCTACAAATATTATACCATTTATATTTCAAAACTT